CCTTTCCCCTGCCTCCCTCCCTGCTGTACCCCACCCCCAACCATTGGTCCCTTGGTCCTGTTGTTTTTCCCCTCTGGATTATTTATCCCACCTTTCTAATCTAGGTAGACATGCAAAAACAATAATAAGCACAAAAACAAAATAACAACAACAACCAAAAGAAAAGCCTATAAGTAGTTCCAGGTCTGTTTGTTAACCATTATGAATGTTTTCCAGTTGAGTCAGATGGGGTGCCACACCCTAACCCCAAAGTCTATTTTTTTTATTCCTTGGGGACTTAATTGCTTTGCCCCCCTTGATGCTCTGTTGCATGTCCTTTAGTGTGTCACCCTGGTGTGGTGGGGTCAGATCAGGCACAATTCATTCACTGTGTCTGCAGTGTTGTCCCCCAAAGTGCTATCGGTCAATGAGGGACTTCGTGTCTTGTGGTGGGGCCGGCCCTTTTAATGCTTCCTCCAGGCACCATCAGATTTCACTATCATAACCCCAGTTCTACCTTAGAAATCTGGCTCAGGACCAATAATGAGAGTAGTGATACCAGGAGGGTAGGGGGAAGATGGGGGTAGAAAGGGGGAACTGATCAAAATGATTGATATATAACACCTCCCCAGGGGAATGAACTACAGAAAAGTGGGTGAAGGGAGACAGCGGTTGGTGTAAGACATGAAAAAAAAACCCAATAATGATCTATAAATTATCAAGGGTTCATGAGGGAGTGGGGGGGGGAGGGAGCTAAAAAAAATGAGGAGCTGATAACAAGGGCTCAAGTAGAGAGAAAATGTTTTGAAAATGATGATGGCAACATATGTACAAATGTGCTTGACACAATTGGTGTGTGGATTGCTATGAGTTGTAAGAGCCCCCAATAAAATGATTTATAAAATAAATAAAAAGTGATCATATTAATTTCTAAAGCACATTGAGAGTGTGATTGACTTGCAGTCTAGTTTCGTAAGGTGGGGTCAATGGGGTCGATACAGTTTCATTTTTGTTGGGTCTAGGCAATTATTAAGAGCAGTTCTTTTAGTCATGAACCTCTTGAGACAATCACCGTGCGACTCTACTTGTTTGTCACATGGGAGACCAAGCAAGAGAAGGCCTGGAATCTCACTACGGTCATAATAGACATTACTAAGCTGTCTCCATGACGTCTCCCTGAAGTGCCAGGAATCCTATTAAAGGACTTTTCTGTAGCGAATAATTTTGCAGCAAATATGTGGAGTGGCTGCTATGATGATAGTATAGGTGAAAGTAATGAAGCTGCATCGAAAAAATAAAGTCAAAAGCATGAATCAACCTCAAAAAGTGGGGGTAGGGCTTTACTAAGGAAAGCCATGCTCAAATCACAAACATGGTTTCTACACATTCTCTAGAAAAACAACAGATCAGAAACTAAGCAACTGAGTGGTTACCTCTGAGTTCTCCTTGCTCTCCTCCCCGAAACTCCCACCCCATCAGAGACCGCCTGGGGTGTCTGCCCAGCAAGCCCCCCGTTTCTCCTTCACATGCCACAGATAGTTAGTCAGGGCTCTTCTCTAAGCCCCAGCACCGGAAAAGCTAATACACGGTCAGTTCCATTTACCATCCTCTTCAAAATCTGTGACACTTCCAGGTAAAACTTGAAGAGGAAGCTGATGATGAGAGTCCGCCTGTATTCCACCTTCCCTCCCGGTGCCGAGCCTGGGATACAGACTTCCCTCAGAATCAGCCTGCAAGCTGCATCCAGCATCTCTTCATTCCAGGGCCTGTGAGAGTCAACAGAGCAGCCTCTTAGCTCCACGAAAGTCATCATTCCACAGGGCCAGCTGCTGTGTGAGGCAAAGTCCCCCTCGGTCCTGAGTCCATTCCAACTCAGAGATGCTACAGGACACAGCAGAACTGACCTATCAGGTTTCCACGGCTGTGCGTCTTTACAGAAAGAGGCTGCCACGGTCTTTTTCCTGCAGTCTTTGGTGGGGTCACACTGCCGACCCTTCAGTTGGCAGCGAATGCTTAACCACTGTGCAACCTGGGATGCCCCCGAAGGCAAATAGCTCCGGTGATACCCAGGAAATAAGAGTACAAGCTCGGAGCCAGGCAACTGGAGTCAAAATCAGCATCTGGGCCTTAGCACTTCATCCTCTGTAAGCGGGGGAAGCCTAGCAGAACCCACCACTGGTAGTCAAGACAAAGCAACACCAACTGTGCCAGGTCCTCCGCAGGAACGGACGCATCCGTCACCAGAGCATTTACAGCCTCCTGGGCTCTGCTTTAGACTTCTGTGTACTCCTCCATTTATGCCTTCCATCTGCCCTATGAGGTAGGGGTGCCTTTGACCCTCTGACAGGCAAAGAAACGGAGGCACTGTCAGCTGACTGAGATCCTCTAGTTAATAAAGGTCAAGCTGCGACTCAAGTTTACTCGCTGACTCCAGTTTATACCACTGCTCAAGAGTCGTTCTCGGGAAAGGGCATCTGACAGCCAGTGAGTGCCCGAGAAATAGCAGCTATTAGTCTCACCGGCAGGGAAAACGAGTGTTACGCTACTGTATTTAGTAATGTATTAAGGAACAAGCTCCATCGTGGTAAATGATGGCTTATCCCACAACAGAGAAGGCACTGTTTACAGTGCACTGTAGAAAATCATTACAATCAAGACAGGTGGAAATAGAAATGTCTGTCATCATGAAATCTTTCTGGAAATCCATGCCATTACACAGAAAGGAGCTAAGTGAATTGCTTCTCGGCCCTTTGCTAAGATCAAATGCGGAAAGGAGCGAAGTGTTTTGCTCTTTGTAGTCACGTCTCTCCACCATCTGATGCCCGAGGACACGATACCCTACCTTCCAAGGAGTTGCTGGCAGGAATGTGTGGCACAGACGGTGGTGGGGCCAACGCCTCCATAAGAAATGGACAGCTCTCTAACGAGGCCATCCCTTTCTCCCAAAAAGACTCGCATTCCGGAATTGACGATGGCTAGCGCATTCTGTTGCCGCTGGGCTTGTCGGAAAGCCGACACAAACTCCCACTGAAAGAAAACGTGAATCTCAGCATGTAGAAACACACTCAGTACCACCCATGCACCAGGCAGGGTATGTATGCTGTGTCAGTGATGCTCCTCACAGCCTCCACGGCACGCCTGACTGTCCCCATTTTACAGAGGAAGAACCTCGAGTTCAGCATAATTCATTCCATCAGTAGTTCAAAGCCATGGGAGCTCTTGAAATCAAGATTCACACTTGCATCAGTCTGACTCGTTAGCTCCACTCTTCTTCCCACTCTGTTCTGCAAATGCTGTTTGTTTGTTTGTTTGTTGGTGTATGTGCTCGTCAGCCTTCTTTCCAACCTCAAGAGACAGGTAGAGATTTTTTCAAGTCTTGTGTAGGGAAAAGATTTATTAGACAAAGGAAAAATTTTAATCTCTTAGAAAGTAACCTTAAATGAGAGGCAGAGGGAGATCAAAAGAGAGACAAAGTGACAGAGATAGTCTCTTGATTCTAGAAATAATAGGAGAAGCAGAATGTCAGTCAGGGGAAAGTATTCACAATTCTTCATACGCACGTGGAAGCTGGATAATGAATAAGGGAGACCAAATAAGTGATGCCTCCGAATGAAATGTCGGTGAGGAATACTGACTGCATCGTGAATTGTTCATGAAGAACAAATACATGTGTCCAGGAAGAAGTACAGTCAGTGTGTTCCTTAGCAGCATGGATGGCAAGACCATGTGTCACCATCTTTGGACATGTGATTAGCAGAGACCAAGTCCAGGAGAAGGGGTCATGCTTCGTAGAGGGCCAGCAAAAAAGCAGACCTGCAATTGGTGGATTTACACAGTGGCTTCAACAATGGGCTCGCATCGTTACACCTGTGAGAGGGTTTGGGATCAGGCAGTGTTCTCTGGTGTTGTAGATGGTGTCGGGATGGGTGGGAACCGACTGCGTGGCAGTTAACAACAGCTCCCACCACCATTTCCTGAAGGTGGACTTTCATCTTCTCTGCAGATACTCAACACCCTTTCTTAACTCTCTCTGGTTAGATTAAACATGCTGGAGACTCTTGGTAAAGCCAAGACATTCAAAGCAGGACAGTCTCACCTTCCGAGAGTAAGGGATGTTCACTGAGACCAAGATTTCTTCAGGCCTAAGATCTGCCTTGGGGCACTTTTGGAGAAACTGCTCGGTTAAGGGGATCTGCCGCTCTCCTCCTGTGGGGAAAAAAAACCACACTTTCCCTAAGATCAGGTTTCTTTACTGAAAAACCAAATTCCCCAAACTTGGGAAATAATCTATCAAACACCCAAGGAAACTGGTCGTGTGGAGGAAGTACCTATGATGGCAACTCCCATTATTGCTGGGTTTGGGATTTTTCCCCCAAATCTAGATCATATTTCTTTGTTCCTTTGCTCACTTATAAGTAAAAATATTTGAGAGAGTATCCTGGAGTTTCAGGCAGAATAGGGCTTTCACCATCCCCTTCCTGGACAACACGGTTCCCTGTGAGTTTTATAATCTGAGAATCGATGTTAATATTTCTTTTGATAATTGATCAAGTCATTCACCAAACACAGATACGAAAGCAAAGCGGTGAATCTCCTAGTCGAGCGTGTATCCTATGAAGACACTGTCTTACTTGGTAACCCTTTCTTGCAGCTTCTCAATAACATTGCTTCTCTAAGCAGTATATTGGGGGAGGGACAGTTTAAAGTATTACAAAATATAATTTGGGAGGAAAAGTAAGAGGCTTTTAATATTGATAGTCACATCGCAAAACTGGTTTTATATGGCTTGAACATTTTAAGTGATGTTACTTAAAATTAAAACACTGAATGCAAATATTCCTCCGTAAGATAATTTTGTGATTGAGATCATGAGAGGAGTGGTATTTACCAAAGCGGGACATAGAAAACTAGCCCATCTGCTTAAATGGAAAAAAAAATTAGGATGACGAATAATTGTTGAATGAGTTGTAACCAGAGAAAGCAACATTTTAAAGTCCTGGACTATGTTTCACAAAGTAAATCAAGTCAAGTAAATAAATAGAGAATGAAATTCGCTGATTGTTCAACAGACAAAAAACAAGCGCCCACCACTGCCTATTGGGCTTCCATGACCTGTACCTTGACTATGAGATCACAGTGTGTTACGACTATCAGAACATTATCTGGAGAAGGTCTTGAACAAAGGGGGCCAAGAGTTCTCAATAGTGTATAGTTCTCCCCACCAATTGGGCCACATCTGGATACTAACTGACTTCCAAGCATGGTCAGTATAGGAGGGCCAGAAAATATCTAACACAAGGTCACTGAAAGGAAAGCATGCCGAGATTAGGAGGACGTACAGTTAGGACCAGACTTACAGCATCCAGAAAAGCAGAGTATTATTAGTATCCTAGGGAAGGGCTGTGTGCAATACTGGACTTCCTGTAACCACCAGAGAGGAGAAGGGTCAGGAAGCTGTCCCTTACCTTTTGATAGCAAGTTGAGGGTACAATTGCCCACAGCCAGGAGGGGGTTCAGATCTGAATCTAGATGTCGGCTTACGATGTGGCCTCCTAAAGACTTTCAAAAGAGTATCAGATCAGTAATACACTTACCACTGGAGCCCTGGTGGCCTAATGGTTCATCGTTGGACTGCTAACTGTAAGGTGGGCAGTTCGAAACCACCGGCTGCTCAATGGGAGAAGGAAGGCTTTCTACTCCCATAAAGAGTTACAATCTCGAGGCAGTTCCACCGTCCTGTATAGTTACTGTGGGTCAGAAACAACCTGATGGCAGTCAGAGGGACTGTAATTCCCAAGGAGGCCTGCCCTGACGGTAACATGGTAAATGGTTTTATCTGCTAACTGAAAGGTCAGTGGTTCAGACCCACTAGTGACTCCTTGGGAGAAAAGACCTGTCTCTCTATGTCCATAAAGATTACAGCCAAGGAAAGCTTTTAGGGGAAGTTCTACTCTGTCACTATGAGTCAACCTGTTAGCAGCACCAACAACTATTCCATTACCCGAAGTGTTATCACACGGATTAAACAAGCTTTCAGATGTTGGTCTTTTGGGGGTCTGTTGCAAAAGAATGGAAACACCATTTTCACTAGGAACAGCCACCTAGAGAGTGGGACCCCCATCACCAAATACATACAGCCATGTTCCTGATCTGTGACCCGGCCAGAGTTCCCAAATGCTTCAGGAGAGCCCGATAAATCCGTGTCTTCTCCTCGGGAAGTTTCTGAATGACGTCGGCCAGGATGTCCTTCACCTCAGCCAGGCTGAGGCCAGCACCTAAGGTCAGCCCTGAAATGATTTGGAAGCAACAAAATACAGTCACCACTGACCTGGAGATGTGGGTGACAGGAGGGCTGCAAACATGGAATCTTCATACTAGATCCCATGCAATATACCATCACCATTGGACGGTGACGATGGGGGTGAGATGATGGAAGCTAAACTCTCTGTGTCACACAGTGTCAAGCACAGTGCCAGATTCCTTATAGAAGCTCCTTGAATTCTAACAGGCCTGATGATATTAATAGCCATCTTTCACAGATGATGAAACTGAGATAAGTTACTTGCTTAATTTCTTACAGCTAAGTTAGGGCATGAGGACCCTTGGCGGCATAGTCATTATGAGCTTGGCTGCTAACTGAAGGTAGGCAGTTTGAAACCACTAGCCGGTCAGCGGGAGAAAGATGAGGCTTCCCATTCTCATAAAGAGTTAGTCTCAGAAACCCTGTCCTGGGGAGGTGGGTGTGGGAGACCTGGTGGTGACTGAGCATGATAGTGGGACAGGAGGAGAATCAAGGGAAATAGAGGAAAGAGCTGGGTGGAGAAACTGCTCGGTTAAGGGGATCTGCCGCT